AGATGGTAGGACATAGTGGGATATCTCCAGGTTATTGGATATCTTCACCCAGACCCTTCCTTTCCATTTAGTTGTACCCTGGCTGTAAGGTGAGTGTTTTTGGTCTGCTCTGTGCTCCCTGAAGTGATGTGCTTCTCACCATAGCTGTGCTGGGTAGTTATGACAACTTGACATGAGCCAGAGAGTCATCTGGGAAGGGAGACCCTCAACTGAGAAAAGACCCCCAATCAGATTGCCTGTGGGCAAGTTTGTGTGGCATTTTCTTGATGGGTTATTGATGTGGGAGGGTCCAGATCACTGTGGGTGGTGCCATCCCTGGGCTGGCGGTCCTGGGTGCTATAAGAAAGCAGGCTGAGCAAGCCATGGGGAGCAAGCCTGGAAGCATTCTTCTTCCACGCCCTCTGCATCAACTGTGGTCTCTAGGTCTCTGCCCAGCTTGAGTTCCTCCTGCCTTAGCTTCCCTTCCTGATGGACTATATAGGCTGAAATAAACCCTTTCTTTCCCAAGATGCTCTGGGTCCTGGTGTTTGTCGCAGCAACAGGAAGCTAATTAGGATAAAAGTCCAAAGGCGACTGGGCTAACTAGAGACGGAAAACTCTGAAGCCGTGAGCTGATGTCAACCTTTTCTCTCTCCTTCTCTCTCAAAACAAAGCACCCCACAAACCTTATATAAAAACCTTGAAAACAAATAAAAATAATCACACACCAAAATTAACCAGACCCAGAGTCTAAAGAACTCCGTCAACCTCTGCACAGTTAGAGTTGGCATTTGGAACGGAAACTGTGAAGCTTCACATTAAAATGTACACTTTCAGTATCGAATATATTGTATGCACATATGTACACCTAAACAAAAAAAATCCATGATGTAATTTCGTCTAGAGAAACAATTCGCTTTCTATGTACTTTTTCTCCTGTGTTTACCTGTGTGTGCATGAGTGCATGTGTGCGTGAGTGCATGTGTGCATGAGTGCATGTGTGCATGAGCACCTCTGCATGGATGCTGGGAATCCAAATTCAAGTCTGAGAAGCATTTTACCAACAGGACCATCTCCCTGAGCCCAGCCTTTTCTCTTCATAGGTTGTTATCTTAGGACTTTGATATAGCTATGGAAACTGACTGACATGAAAAACTGGGAAAACTGACGAGCCCACTTTTTAGAAATGATGCATGGTTCCAGAGTGCTTTATTTAAACCTTTTAACATTCACAAATGAAGAAGAAAATAAAACCAACATCCATCTATTTTTAAATAGTAGTAACAATGACATTAATTAGAATATTATTTATGAAAAATAGCCGTTTTTAATAAAAAGAGTGACAATGTTTTATATTTTTGAAGAACTTCCCAGTGTCTGGCTTAGCAGACAGCTGGATTTCCATATCTGAATTCGCCGGCAAGCTGTTGTGATATTACACGTCGTGTAGGCTTTGGAAAACTCCTCTCAACACCCATGAGAACAAGTCTTTGTGCTCACACCGAATCTTCTTGACTTTGCAGATGCCCTTGAAAGAGTCTCAGGAACCCATCGGGTGGACTTGGGAGCCACTGTTTGGGAACTCAAAAATGGAATGAGACAATCCAGATGCACAAGGAAGGAAGTCAACCCAGCGAAGAAACAGAATCCAGGAGAACACAGGCTAATGCAAGAGCTAGAAGATGACATCAATATTAGTGTAATTAATCCACAAGAGGCCCAATGGGCTCTCGGAGTCCGTGGTACTCAGACACAACAAACAGAAATCAATACTGCCCTTGCAGACCAAGGAGGAGAGGAAATGCAATGGGAACACAGATCAGAAACAATCAAACAATCCAAGATCCAATCAAAACTTCCAGAGACTTAGGCAAGGAAGAAATTTAATTTCATTTAAGGATATCAGCTGAAAGATGTATTGCTTCCTAGTACATATACATATGTGAATATGATCCTAGTTACATGAGTTTCTTGGTAAAGCTCCCTGCATTATATTGTACTGAGCCTGATTTCTGTCACAGGCATTAAGACTGTAACTAGGAGCCGGTGGCAGTGCTCAGAGGGTGAAGGCCCTTGCTGCCAAGCCCTAGCTGGAACTTACATGGTGGAGGGAGAGAATCAAATCCCACGAGCTGTCCTCTGACCTACACAGATGTGACGGCACTGTTCCTCTCATATAGGCATGGGGTAAACAAGCAAACGTAAAAAAAAAAAAAAAAGGTATTCTAGGACAGAAGCTACCTCCAAACAAAACAGAAACACATGGTCTCCAGCAAGAAAATACAGCACACGGAATAGTCAAAGGTTAACAACGCCCTTGTCCAGAAAAATCCTGGAGGGTCGTGTGAAGAAGGCAAGGATCCTTCACATACAGAAGCGTCCCGGATGCCACAGCTAGAAGTGGCTGCTCGCATGGAAAACAACCAGCCTCCAGTTCTGTCATGGAGAGGTCCTGTTCTCATATCAAAGAAACCCAGCAGTCTAGAGGTTAGAACCTACAGGGCTTTGTCTCTTAGGTTCTCTGGAGCAGAGCCAATAAGCTACACCACACACACACACACACACACACACACACACACACACACACACACACACACACACACACACGGTCCCAGTTTCACGGTGCCTGGACCTACAGTTGCCCAACTTTATCATGGTGCCAAAGGGACACTTGTTTGGCCATCCTTTGGCATTTCAGGTTTGATCTCTTCCCGGGCTGGTGATGTTCAGCAGGATTCTCAGTGACACTGATGTGCCAACGAACCACAGCTCCAGTCGGTTCTGGCAGGAGGAGAAAGGGCTGTACCTCTGTAGTGTTCTGCATGCTGTGAGAGTCACCGCTGTATTAGTTACGTTTCTTGTTGCTGTAATGGAATGCTGGACCAAAGAGGCACAAGGAAGGGTCTATTCCGCCTCACAGTTCACGGGAGAGTCTAAGATGGAGTTTGAGACACCGTAACAGAAACACAAGGCGGCTGGTCACGTTGTACTCAGTCGGGCAGCAGAGAGAGGAATGCTGATGCCAGGCTTGCCTTCTCATTTTTATTCAGTCCAGGACTCCACCTCACGCAATGGACTGTCTGCAGTTAAGGTGGGTCTTCCCTCCACTGTGATCATAATCTGGAAACTCCCTCAGGGCTTTGCCCAGAGATTTGTCTCTAGGTGATTTTAGACCCCTTAAGTTGACAATAAAAAACCACACTGGTTAGATGAGCCCAGGTCACTTTCTCTTTAAACTGTTTTCAATTTGTGGTGGGTTTACTGAAGTACAACTTTATTGTAAACCAAGAAGCATCCTCTTTAAAAGATAAAGAATTCTCCTCCTCAATCGTCTTTTATGCATTTTACTGACTGTTGTGTGTGATGTGTGATGTGTGATGTGTGTGTGAGCACGCGCGTGCGTGCGTGCGTGCGTGCGTGTGTGTGTGTGTGTGTGTGTGTGTGTGTGTGTGTGTGGTGCCAGTGTCATACTGTACACGTGAAGGTTTAGAGGTCAACATTGTTAAATGGTTCTCTCGTTATCCCTGCTGTGGGTTCCGGGGATTGAACTCAGGTCAGGAGGCTTGCTCAGCAAGTGCTTGACCTACTGGACCGTCTCGCTGGCCCCTGTCGTTTGTAATACTCTGTGAAATGTTTGATGATCAAAACCACAAACCAAGACGAGATCTTTGAGGATGAGCATAATAAACAAGTCTGGAATCTTCAGCCCACCCATAGGGTCCTAGACAGTGTGGAGCCACACACCGACTCTAGGTCCCTGTCACTACCGGGCAGGATACCACATCTGGACAAAGCCACACTCAGGCCACACTTTGCTCTGCTTCCCGTTGGGACATCCAGCACATATGGGAGTGGGTGTGTCTCAGCCCAAAGTTCAGCTAGCCCATTTCCCAGGTCTGTGTGGGTCTCTGCCCTTGGCTCTTCCCCACCTGACCCAGGGGTTTGTGGGGAGGGTCAGGTATGGAGCAGGCTGGCGACAGGACACCCCCCCCCCCACACACACACACACACGCTCTTCTTAAAAACCTATAAACCCTTCGGATGTGCTAGGCTGCCGCGTCTTCTCTAGGTGTCTTAGGAAGGTGGCGGAAAGCAACACTCTCAGTGTGAAAACAATTCGTATCACATACTCACAGAAAGGCCCGGTCTTTGTCTTACGGACTCTGGAGACAGATTCCAATCCTGGCTGTCTGACCTGTGTGAGCCAGGCAGGCAGTTCACTCTCTCCGTGCCTCAAGCTCCTCCTATGAAAAATTCGGAGGACAGGAATGAACCTTTATGAAGTATATGAGGCTAAAGCCGGGGGTGCCAAGACTCAGACCATGGCTTGGCATTTGGTGAATACTTTATTGCCCTCAGCTCTAGAACATTCTGCTTCAGTTTCTGTGGAGAGTGTACTAACATACGTCCCTGCCCGTGGTGGAGGTCTTTTTAGGAGAGTAGATTTGTAAACTCACATCCTTGGACATGTGTTAACACTCATAGAGCCCCCGAAACCAGACAGAGAACTTTCTCGGGTCTCACGTCAGGCAGCTAGGCCCCGCAAAGTGCCTTCCAGCATCCTCTGAGGACAGAGAAGGAGGCCTCAGGACCAGTGCTTCCCAGTGCCAGGCTGATGTCATCTTCTGCACATGGGCCCATCGCTCCCCAAGTTTACAGTCAATGAATAAGTGGTCCTGTCTACAAATGTCCAAGCCTGGGGAAGACTGACCCAGAAGATGAGTGTGCAGAAAGAATCTGGAGCTTCTTAGGGCATGAGCTTGAGGGTTGAGGTTCTGGACTCCTTAGCTTGGAGCTGTCACGCACTTCAGGTTTCAAGGTTTCCTCAGTAGCTGTCAGCCTGCACAGGCGGGCCGGCGACCTCCCTCCCCCTCCCTCCCCGCCTCTCCTTCCTCCTTCTGGCTTCCCTCCCCCCTCCCTCTTCCTTCAGCCTCCTTTCACTCCCTTCTCCAGCTTCTCACGCGAGGGGGGGGGCGTGGGGGCAGGGAGGGCGGTTGGCACCCACCCTGCTGTGTGGCTGCGTTTATTCTAGGCTCGGGCTGGGGAGGTACGAGGGAAAGTGGGTCAGCGCCGGCCGCGACAGGACTGTGGCTCGGGCGACAGGGCTCCTGTTCGCTGATGCCTCCCAAGCAGACAGTAGGTGGCATCCGCGCGTGACACGCAGGCACGGGTGGGCGGGGACGCCCACAGCGGGAAGGGGGGCTTGAGCAGCGAGCAGGAGGGCCCCCGAGGCTTCGGCACACGGGTGGCTGGGGCCCCGCAGGTTGACTTCGGAGATGTCACATGTCTGGCTGCACTGCTCTGGGAACTTAGAGCAGAGGACGGGTGTGCAGGATGCCCGAGTGACGCCCCCATGATCCCTCAGTCGGCGGGTTCTCCTGGCTTCCTCTGGGCAGCTCTCATTCAGGGTGCCATCATCTGCCCTGCCCCCTGGTGTCAGCCACACGCCTCTGCACCCTGAGCCGGCTTCCTGGGGTGGGGTGGGGTAGGTTGCAGGGAGTCCCATCCCCCACCTCCAGGGACTGATGATGTCTAGATGGCTCCCACTCCAGAGGCCCTGGCAGCGGCCACTCCTAAGGCCACCTTGCACCCGTGACTACGTTTTGCCCTAGCAGTACTGAGATGTCTGCCTCTGTAGGATGGCTTGGAGCAAGAATTGGCCACCAAAGCAGTATGGGTGCTGAGCCTTTTGGTAGTCCAGCGACCTATGGGACTGGGGGTCTGGGCTAGTCCTTGTACTACTCAGCTAGTCGGTGTACCTGTGATGGCGGACAATGTCCCAAGCGCTCTGAACTCTCCCGCCTGGGGCCTCCGTAGAATCAGTGAGTCTCTCACTGAATATTTCCCTGCCTCCTGGTTCCCTCAAACAGTCTGCAGCCTTTGGTAACTATGCCTGCCATGGTGCGCCTTGCTAGTTGTGGGAGGCTGGCCTCAGCCAACGCTTTGGCTGGCTGAGCCTCTCTGAAAATGGAGACCTAGGGGGGCTCGGGGTTGGCCCAGTCTCCCTGCAGGACTGCCAGGTTGGAGAAGGTATTTCCTGGCCAAGTGAAGTCTGTGTTTACAGCACCATGGCACACACACCCTTTTGTGTATTCAGCTCGAGCCCCCCCCCCCTTAGCACGGCTGCACTGGCAACCCCCCGCCCCCACCCCCTTTTGCCTGTATCTAGGTTGGCCCCACCGCTTGGCAAACATTAGTAGTCCCCAGGACTGCCATTAGCTTTTGAGCTTTCCTCCTGTGTGTGCAGGCAGCTTCGGGACAGTGGAATGCCCCAAGGGGCAGGACAGGGAAGTGGAACAGGAAGAAGAGGAGAGAGAGGAAATGGGTGAAAAGTGACATTTGTCAGTGCCGGGGGCTGCAGAGGCTCTGGGAAAGTAACAGGCTGAGCTCTCTTGGGCAGCAGGCCGCAGTCGACAGAAATGCTGAGGAGGGAGATACCCTGTCTCTCTTCAGGCCCCCCCTCGCCGCCGCCCCCCCCCCATGTGGGAGGGAGGAAGGGTCCCCACCTGCCGTTCCTGGGGGCACAGAGTCAAAGAAACCTTAACCCCACCCTGAGCCTTGAACTCTAACTTCCCCATTATCTCCACCCAGTGATCCCTTTATAGCGAAACTTTTCTCTTGCTAAGAAAATGGCAAATGGGACAAGGTAATATGACTTTTGAGTGTGACCCACAGATAATCAGAACCTTCTAAGGTTCAGGTTCGGGTTCTGCAGGCCTCGGAGGAAGGAGAACCGGGGCCCAGCTCTGCCCACCCAGGATTTCTTCGCCTATTACAGGGACCTGTAGAACTGGGTTGAGCACTGGCCAGCACTGCTGATTCTGCCCTGGGCCACACATGAGTCACACCAGGCTCTGCCAGCTGGCTCCAAGGCTCTAGGATTTCAGACCAGTCATCAAACATAAAAACAGAGCCCTGTGGGCCTCTTGAATACCACTCCCAAGAAAAGCAAGGCAGGGGCCCTGCCAATTCAGTTATGAGAAACACAGCAATTTGGTTTAACCTTGTTGGATTTGGCTTTTTAGTCTAGTTATCACCTTCTAGAATCTTCCTTCCTCTCCCTAAACTCCAGCCGAGTTCTAAGGTTCAGAAGTTCTCAGGGAAACCAACCCTGGGTATAAAGACCTGGAAGTATCTTTTTTTTAATTTTTATTTTATTTTTTATGAAGTAACTCTCTTTAATGTCTGTTTATGGTCAGAAGCAGTCTGCAGCCTCTCATAGCAACGCCTGATTAAACGGTGCCCAAGCTATCCTGGGGCAATAGACAGATAATTGCACTGCTTAATTTCCCCATTTGATGAATAATGAAAGCCTTGCTCATTTTGAATGTGTGGGAAAGAGACAACTTCAATATATTTGGACTTGCAGATGAATTTTTAGTACTGCTATCCTGGCACATGGCACTGTAGCCCTGCTTATCTCTGTCATAGTTATTACACACGTTTGAAAACAGAACAAGCTGTTGGTGCCAAACAGCGGCGGAGCAGGGTGTGGAAGGGAGCATCTTTGATGATCTTTTATGAAATACAACGCGTACACACATGGCAGACCATGTTTTTCCTCAAAGAATAGGGGGAAAGAAACCATTTGTCATTGACGGTCTCGCCATTTCCTGTTGTCTTTGAGCGGTTACACGTTTTTCTCAAGCAATAAGTGATTATCCCTATGTGTACCTCTTCTGTGTACTTGCTGGTAAGAGAGCCAGCAACCAGCTCTGGTTGGACTTGGCTGTGGTACTGTAAAATTTTTCTTGGCTTCTTTGTGTCTTGATTTTATCTGTTAATAGATTGAAGGCTCATTTTCCTCTCCTTCCCCTCCAATCTTTCATTTTTTTTTTTGTATGTGTGTGTGCAAGCCTGCATGTGTATAGCATTCGTGTGGAGGTCAGAGGATAACCTCGAGGGTTGGCACTTGTCTCCCACTTGTACATACACCAGACCTGCTGGCTTATGAGCTTCTGGGAATTCTGTGTGTTCCTCCCATTTCTCTGTAGGAGTGCTGGAGTTACAGATGTGTGTGTGTGTGTGTGTGTGTGTGTGTGTGTGTGTGTGTGTGTGTCCACACCCAGATTTACTTTGGTTCTGGGGATCTGAACTCAGAGGCTCACCCTTGCACAGTAAGCACCTTACTCACTGAACCATCTCCCCAATCCCTTCCTCTTTTAATTCTTCCTTCTTTCTCTTTTCCCAGGAATTGCAATTTCAAATATTACCAAAGGTGTAACAAGAAGAAACCCTCACCAGCTTCACTGGCAGCACAGAACAAGCCTCCTTTCACCGACATCTGTATTTACACACCTTCAGAAGCAAATCCCCGGACATCTGTAAGTTCATCCACGCATTGGGACCGTGGAACTATTGAATCATGACAGTGGAGTCAGATGACTTGAGCTATCTAATGGATGGTTCCTCTGTCGCTTTTGTGTAAGCTCTTAGACATGGATTGCAGAGCCTTTGATAGTCCCCCTCATGGGTCTGGCCATCAGGCAGGGTGGCTCAGTTCTCCACATAGCCTCAGCAGCAGGCTAGCTTGGGCTTGCTCCAGAAGTGGCGGCATTCCAAGAGTCGCCCGCGGCAAGAGAAGGCAAGCCCCAGTCTGCCAGGACTTTACAAGCCCCTGCTTGCCTCATGTTGGCTAATGTCTCATTAGCCAAAACAAGTCATGCAGCCTACGCCAGATTTCATGTAGGAGAGGATATGCAAATAACCTTGAAACAGGGAGCCTTGGAGGCCATTATTGTAGCCAGTTGTATGGCAAGAACACAGTTCTAAAAGATACCGACTCTTCCCACTTTTCACATAACTCAGGTCCATTATCACATCCTCCAAGATTAACTCCAAATCTTTGCAACTGGCATCCCCTCAGTACTTAGAGTTCTCTAACTGTCACACAAAATCATTTTTTAAAAGATTAGTGCTGTGGTTTCATGTTCACGTGTTAAACGCTAACCTCTGGTCCTAGCTGGTGACATTATTTTGGGAAGCTCTGGAAACTTTAGGATGTGGAGACTTCTGGAGGAACTACGTCTAAGAGAGTGTGCCTTTGAAGGTTATGCCAGGTCTCTTGCCCCTTCCTTTTCTCTGCTTCTTACTCCGTGAGGTGAATAGGCAGCCTCTTCCTCCACACGTTCCCACCACCATGATGCTCTGTTCTTATGCACGAGGCCAGGCAAACCCGGATGGAGATCTCTGAAGAGGGATCCCAGAAAAGCTGTCCTCCCTGAAGCTGTTTATGTCTGGTATTTTGTCATAATGATGAGTAAAGTAACTAACGTAAGCTGACGGAAGTCGAAGGAGTCCAAATGAATGCCCACTGCATTTGTGTGTATCCCGTAAGTCTCGCCAGCACCATGGAGATGCAGTGGAAAGGCAGAGCTAGGACTCAGCTTCCGCTGGTACACTCCCACAATGCAGATTGCCTCTGACGCTAGCCACCTGCTACTTTCTCTCCATCAGCCATTACTGTGGCAGACTCCAACTGGGTGTCCTTTAACCTCGTTTAATTATGACACTACCAAGATAAAGGTTCACTTTCCATAGCTTGAGGGCTGTCTCTGTCTTCCCACTTGTCTTAGTTAGGGTTACTACTACTGCAATGAAACACCATGACCAAAAAGCAAGTTGGAGAGGAAAGGGTTTATTGGGTTTACACCTCCAGTCCATCATTAGAGGAAGAAGTCAAGACAGGAACTCAAACAGGGCAGGAACCTGGAGGCAGGAGCTGATGTAGAGGCCCTGGAGGGGTGCTGCTTACTGGCTTGCTTCCCATGGCTTGCTCAGCCTGCTTTCTTATAGAACTCAGGACCAGCTGCCCAGGGATGGCACCACCCACCATGGGCTGGGCCCTTCCCCATCAATCACTAACTAAAGACATGTCTTACAAGCTTTTCTACAGCCAGATATTACGGAGGCATTTTCTTAATTGCGGCTTCCTCCTCTCAGATGACTTTAGCTCGAGTATCAGGTTGACATAAAACTCTCCAGCACACCACTTTAGATGCCTGTTGAAATCCCCGGGCTGTTCCATCAGTGCAGCTGATCTCTGTGGGGTTCCGCAAACCCCTCAGGCTCTGGTAGTCTGCAAGAAATATTATTCATGGAGCGTGGGGAAACACTTTCTCAAGCTCACTACCAGAAGATAGGGATGAAGTGGGGCATGTGGAGAGGTATGAAGGAAGGGCACAGACCCTCTCCCAGCCCACACTCTCCCGGACCTTCCACATGCTCAGCTCTCAGGATGCTCTGTGAACCCTGTCCTGTGTTTTCATGGAAAGCTTTACTACAAAGGCACGGGATTAACTCAAGACCACTGATGACCAACCCAACTCCGAACCTTCTCCCACCTGCCTCAAGGTCAGGGGCTGAGGCTGAAAGCCAGGTGACTTCCTCAATTGCTTTCTGTCTTGAGTAGGGTCTCTCACTGAACTTGGAGCTCACATGTTAGCTAGACTAGCTAGCCAGGAAGCTCCAAAGACCTGATTGTCTACCTCCCCAGGGCTGGGACCACAGAAGTATCACTTCACCGGGCTTTTACGTAGGTGCTGGGGATCCGAACTCAGGTCCCCATGCTTGCACTACAGGCACTTTACCAACTGAGCCGTCTCCAAGTCCGTAGGCCAGATTTACTGTACAGCTATTTAAAGGATAACTGAAAATGTATTTGGTACAGGAGTCAGCAAGCATGTCTGTAAAGGCTCATAGAACCAACAACTTGATCTCTGTTACTACTCACCTGTCCCTGGAGGGAAGGCTGCTACAGACAAATGCAAACAGATGAGGGTGGTATCTTCCAGTAAAACTATATACGAAAACAAGTGACTGCCTGTAGGCCGTGGTCATCGGGGAGGTATGGCATCAAACAGATTTCAGTGGCGTAGAAAGTTCTCAGCTTCACAATTCATTGTTAGTAGTATCACATACATTTCTAAAACCCCAACTTGGGGACCCTCTAGTAGGGTTTCTTCTCAGTATGAACTATATAACGTTTTGGGGTTTTTCAAGTTTTTCTTGTTCCGTTTTGTCTTGCACACTCTTCAGAGTGATATCACCTTTTTTTTTTTTGTCTTTTCGAGACAGTTTTTCTCCATGTTGTTTTGGTGCCTGTCCTGGATCTCGATCAGTAGACTGGGCTGGCCTCGAACTCACAGAGACCTGCCTGGCTCTGCCTCCCAAGTGCTGGGATTAAAGGCGTGCCCACCACCGCCTGGCTTGATATCACCTGTTTTTAACAGCCAGCTTTCTCTGTCTCTAAACTTCAGCGCTCTGATGGGATTTCTGCGCGCTGCTTCAACTGGAGTCATTAGGTACTGTCGGGGTGTGACCCATCTGACAGTGAAACTGTACTCAGATGTGACTTAGTTGTGCATGCTCTGCGTCATCTCTGGCATGCGACATTTGTGGTCATGCTACAAGTTTCAGCCCATGGACACAAATTCTGACAATTGCAGGCCTATTGGGAAGGTGGCTGGGAAGACACAGGAGCCAATGTGGCCTCTACCCGCTGTGACCAGGACTCTTCTCTGCTTATCCCCTCTGGCCTGGGGCTTGGGCAGGAGGCACACAGACAGCACTTGCTCAGGCTTCACAACTTCAACCTTGGACATGTGTCACACACACCTCCTCCTGCCCCGCACCCCCCCATCTGTCCTGGAATGGTAGGACAAACATTTTCAGCCACAACTGCTGGTTCCCATGTCCTACGTCTTCGCTCAGAGGGTAGATAAGAAAGAGATGCCACCACAGTGAATCTCCATATGCTGACCCATGAGGGTTAATAGGCCCTCCCCTGCCTCTTGGTCAGTTCTGATCTACACTAGGGTTTATTTAGCCTTCTTAGTGGATGACCATGACCATGACAGATGACCATGAACAAGCATCCAGACACTACCAGGGTGAGGCTACATCACCTTGGGCAAGCTTGGTTCTCTAAAGACAGATGATGAGGCCAGGGAGCCCATGTCCCATATGGACTTTGCCTCTGTTTTTCATAGCACCGTGGAGTGGCCTTTGTGTCTCCTGCTCTGAGTGTCCTGCATCCTTGCAAGTTTCGTCTGGCCTCTAGCAGAGACCCTTGGGAAGTTCCTGGTCACCACATCCACTGAATCCCACTGCATCAACTGATGTTCTGCCCTTTGGTGAATGGAGAGGGGAGACAGACTGCTGCTTCTCCCACCAAGGCTAGCAGGTATTTCGGAGGCAGGTGTGGGGCCTAGTTTCATTTCTGTCGTTGTGATAAAGTATCTCAACCCAAAGCAACCTAGGGAGAGAAGGGTTTATTTGACTTACAATCTCAGGTTACAGTCTCTCGATCAAGGGGAAGTTGAGGCAGGGACTCAGAGCAGCTAGTCAGTCAAGAGTAGAGAGTAGTGAACACATCTCTGCTGCTTGCTAGGTTGCTTGTGCTCAGCTAGCTTTTCTCACTTATACACTTCAGGGCTACCTTCTTAGGGAATGTTGCTACCCATAGTGGACTGGGTGCATCATTAACAAGGAAGACACCCCCCACCCACACACCCACCAGACATGCCTACAGGCTAACCTGATCTAGGCTATTCCTCAAGGGCCTCTTTCCAAATGATCCTAGGCTATAGTGAGTAGACATGTAAACTGACTGGCAAAGTTGGGCTCATCTCTCAGCGTGTATTTTGGAGGAAGGTGGGGCTCATCTTCTTATGTTCAGACACGGGACCCAGCACATAGTCTCTGCGGTACAAGTGGCGACTGTCCTCGGGAAGCAGTGTTAGCACCAGTGTGAACAGCTGAGTAATTCCCAGCTGGTTTCACATCTGTCAGGCACAGAGTGGCCTTTGCTACACCAAACATGACTGTAAACCTGGCACGACTCAGACAGATCAGCAGGTGGAGAACATCCCTGCTTCCGGACGAGGCTAATATCCCAATTTCAGAATGTCAGATCTGAGCCACATGCCAGGCGGTAGCTTTGGGAGGCATCGAGGGAGAGAAGTGTATCTCCCAGCCACCCTTCTAGAATGTTCAATCTTACATCGCCAAGGAGCATCTGTGAGGTCACACTCAGCCTCAGTCACTGTAACTTCTGGTCTACTCATATCTAGCCAGTCACTTGGAAAGTTTACTGGCAGCTGGTCTGGGCCTGATAACTCATCTACCTCCAGATTGGCAGATCGAACAAGTCAAGGCCTGGCTGCTGGAGGATCCCAGGAGCTCAGAGGGAATAAAATAGTCCAGAGAGCATCACACTCCAAACCTGTGTAGGTAAGGGAGAACCGCCAAAAATAGGGGAGGGGTGCGAGAAAGTCAGGGCCCAGACAGGGGTGGCGGAGTCGCTGTGAGGGGAGAGGCAGTCCCTCCAACCACCTTGAATCATTGAGTCCCCCAGCAGGCAGATTCTCTTTGCCTTCCCACCTCCTAGAGACAAGCAGCCCTGGCTCTGTAGAAGAAGCTGCAGGCAGCCAGAGCAACCAAGCCTGGGCTGAGTGCTTCCGGGACACAGCAGAGTCGGATGGCAGGAAGGGCTGCCAGGCCTCAGAGCAGGCTTCCAGCCAGACTCTGGGACCTTCTGCTCCTGGTGATAAGGCCTAGGGTATGTCCTGAAGTCTGAAGGTGCAGGCCACACTCCAGCAACTAGAAGCTGGGGCAGAAGGGCCCAGTGAGGCAGAATCGCAGGACTGGGCCAGGGCTGGGGCACTCCTGTGTGCACGGGCTCTCTCCCTCCACAGAGAGCAGGTTCTTAGTTTCGTTCCCAACAGGCTCTGGGCAGAAGTTTCTCAGGACAAACACTGGCTTCTTCAAGGCAAGAAATTCCCAGCACTAGCTGGGCAGTGGTGGCGCATGCCTTTAATCACAGCACTCAGGAGGTAGAGCCAGGCTCTGTGAGTTCGAGGCCAGCCTGGGCTACCAAGTGAGTTCCAGGAAAGGCGCAAAGCTACACAGAGAAACCCTGTCTCGAAAAACAAAAACAAACAAACAAAAAGAAAAAAAGAAATTCCCAGCACTGGTTTGCTAATGTTTGACAGAAAGTCTCTGAAGTCCCCACCTGCTGGTGATGCGGTAACAAGGATGGCCCGTTTGCTGGTGACAGCATGGACAAGGATGGTCCACCTGCTGGTGACGGCGTGGGGAGGTGAGAAGCCCTCTGTCAGGAAGGCTTTGCCCAGCACCCTTGTTGCCCTCTCTTCCAGAGTTATAGGGTGCTCATTTCCAGTTCTCCCTTAACTTCAGAGACAGACACAGACAGACAGACAGACAGACAGACAGACAGACACACACACACACACACACACACGTAAAAATGAAAGTGATGCAATCTGTTCAGTTTTAACTGCTGAGCCCCACACTAAGCACGATCTTAGGATTTTCTCCACACACCAAGGGCCAGGGCTGGTGGCGACAGGGAGGTAGCTCTGCTGATGCGGTACCTCAGGGTCCCTGAGATAACTGTGGGGTTGGTCAGGTGGAGAGGGCTCTCTGTGCCAGACAGTGAGAACCTTCCAGTGGGGCTTGCTCCACCATTAACGCACCCCTCCCTTCCCCTTCTTCCCCCTCTCCCTCTCCCCGTCTCCATTTCTGAGTCAAACTCTTTAAGATTGGTCCCAGGAGGCCACTGAAGGGCAGCTTCAGGAGAGGTGAATTCAGCACTCACTCTAACAAGACTGAGGAAATCAGGGCTGAGAGGGAGGAGAAGCAGGGGTGCAGGAGAGGGTCAGGAGGGCTGAGAGGATGGAGAAGCAGGGGTGCAGGAGAGGGTCAGGAGGGCTGGGGGAGTGAGGCAGAAGAGGTACAAGAGGTATGGGCTGGGTGTTGTGGGGGGGATGCAGAGGAGAGTCAGGAGGGGAGTACCAAGAAGGGTGGGGCAGGAAGGGGTGGAGAAGGTCAGACCTGGGAAGACTGCAGTAGACTGCAGAGCTTCCGGGCAAGGCTGAGTAGCTTTAGGTCTTTCACTTCATTTTTTATGTTCAAAAATGTTCATGAATAAGAGTTTAACGATTTCTCAAACAATAACAGAAAGTTTGTCTGGACACAAAAGAACGCCGTGGCTCTTGTCCGTTTTCTCTGAAAGCTGCAGTGTCTTTGCTCACAGGTGGGGCTATCTGTAAGGACACAGCAGTCGAGTTGTGTGTTGGAGGACGTTCTTGAGGGAGGCCCGGAGCAGGGACACCGGTGACGGGACAGTGAGGGCTGAGTGCTCCACAGCAAAGACAGCTGTCATTCCCAGGTCTTCCGTGGCCCTGTCAACTCAAGATGCAGGGCCGTCAGGTGCCAGACACAAGACAAAAGTGAAGTTAGGAGCCCCTGGCAAAGGAGGGGAACCCTGGGGCAGCAGCACTCTGAGGGTCTCAGAGGAAGGAGGGAGTCCACGCTCTTGGGGACTGGCATCCTGACTCTCTACCTTGTCTCATCATCGGTACTCAGCAGTTACCTGGCAGGAGACGAGGGCGAGGGGGGAAGAGGAGGAAAGGGGGGGCGGGGAGAGAGAAGGGGAGAGTGAGGAAGAGGGAAGGAGAGGGAGAGAAGGAGCTTGAGGAGGAGAAGAGCTATACTGTCCAGCCCTTACCAAGTCCGGGCCAAACTTGGATCAGCGTCCCTGTGACATCCAAGTTGTCCGAGTTTCCCATAAGAAAACAGGCTTGGGGCTACCCAGAACTGTGTGTAAAATCTCACAGTCTGAACCAGCACTCCAGCTCAGGCCTGGTCCAGATCCTAGAGCTCAGCCTCTCCTACCTATTCCCTGCTGCACATACACACGCACAAAGCTTTTCTTTGTATGATTTCAGCCAGTACAAATGGCTCCACAAACCAAGGCTGTAAACTATACACTAAAGCCCATCACTCAGGGATTGACCTGTCCTAAAAATAGAAAAGATTGCTTTTTTTTTCTTTTTTTTTTCTTTTTTAGTAGTTCTCTTTCTCTGAATTCTCAAATCATCCCAGGGACCAAAATGTCAGAATTTCCTCCTTGAGGGGAGAATATCTTCCTGCCATCTCACTCATCAGCCACACGGTGGTGCCATTGAGGGCCTGTCCAACAGAATCCAGTGATTTGTGGCTTGCTGGTAGCCAGCCTGGCCGACAGGCACCTTTTTTCTTTTTCTATTTGTGGTACCAGGATTGCGCCTAGCACATAGTAGGCAAGCTTCTATCCCTAAGCAAATCCCCCGACCCCAGCTACCCAACACCTTCCAAAAGCAGCAGCAGCCAGGCCCTTTGGACTGCGAATCTAAGTATGCAAAAGTCATACAACAAGTGAGATGTGTCAAACTATAGTATTTTAATGTGACTAAAACCCGGCAAAAAAAATATCACAGATGGCCGAGTTTAATTACTGTGTGTGCCTGGGTGTGCTGCTGGTGCCATTGTCTGCATGGTTAATAAGGTCATAATTCATAAGCTTGCTATTGCTCCCATAAAATTTATTTTCCCTGCCGTTATTCACCAAGTCACTAATTCCAGTCTATTAAGATCTTCACAGATTCATGGTCAACCTGTAGCAGAGACAAGCCAGACAAGCTTTCTTGAACCCAAATCACAGTCACA